CTCCAAAATGTAAAATATTGATACCAAGTATCACATAATATATGAGAGAATTTACAATCTATTATAATAGACCACTTCACCACATGTTTAATTATCAGTCAGGAGTATCTGAGAATTGGATCTTCACATCTCAGCCAGGAAAATCTGCTTCAGTTATGCAGAAATACTAAGGATAAAAAAGATATTTTTGCCATATCTTAAAATCCTACCTAGAAATAGTAGCTCAGATTCCCTGAATAAGAAAATGGAGGGTATTATGATGGCTTACTATAATGTGAGAATGACAATGGTCTTCATTTACACTAAACTTTTGGCACATGGGTAGAACACCTTTTTCTCACTGTAAACTAGGCAAGAGTAATTTCTGTAAATCAAAGACCACATCCAGCAAAAGAAGAACTACAATTCAGCTTTCACCAGCCAGCATCTTTGTCCGTATGCCAGTAGAGCTGTAGAAGGATCCTCAGTCTTACCCCACTTTGGTCTTGGGAAAAGTGGTCTGCATCACCTGAAGGAACTGGGGGCCTGGATAGCCCAGAAACCACATAGTGAATACAGACACCAGAGTCCAGGTGTTTTCCAACCACCAAATTCCTGCCTGCTGATTTCCTTATTTCCCAACTGTATGGTGTGTATTTGGAGCAGATTCCTGCAGTTCACCTGGCTGAGAAGGTCCCAGTTCTCTAGTCCTGTAATTGGAAACATTGCTTAAGTTAGTACTCTCTCACAAAGAAAAGAACTGCATGAAGCCTGATCCAACCTAACTGCGTTGAGCACATAGGAACTACTTCATTTTCACTCAGGAACTCCTCTCAATTTCTTGCTGAAATGGATGATTGCCTAAAAAAAGAACTTAATATCTGGTTCCATTAAAGGGAATTTATACACATCCTAAAGGATTCATAACTGCATTTACCCCCTCTAAATATCTCCAAATGGCTAGTAAAGAGTGCCTGAAGTGTTTGTTCACTAAAACAATTACTTTTCACATTCACACATCCATGTACACATATAATCTTGCCACCTTCATCACCAGGGGAAAAAAAAGTCCGGTTTTTTTCATGATCTGCTTACTTCCTCATCAGGTGTAAGCACTAAACCTAACTTTACTTAGTAGCCTTCATGACGAGGCTATTCCTAATTTTTGGGTGGTTTATTTTCTGTAGAAAATAAAGTTCAAATGCTGAAAGCTTTGTCTAGTACCATCTGAGGTAACACATAAGGGACAGAATTAGAATAGGAAGGCTGAGGGTAAGGACAGTCTTGTGATCTTCAGTGCTGTTATTGGTGAAGACAGACCATCTCACAAAGGCCTGCTTGAAGCTCTCTGCATGTTTTTCAACAATACCTATTGAAAACATACAGAGAAGACCAGGTAGCAGCTCTAAATGCCACAGAACTCAGAAGAGACAAGTAGAAGAGGGAACAGCAGAAGGATTGTTCTTAAAAGCGATTGCTACTGCCAGTCAAGTAGATGGATTTTACTTCTTTTGGTGCTCAAGATTCAGGCCAAGTATAGCTTTAATTTGTCTAAAACATAATGTATGGCTCCTGTGCAGTGGTCTATGAACTCGCCAAATCCAGTATTTATGATTGTCTGAGTCATTTCTGCAAAGAGAGAGTATTACATCGATGAAAATACATGGCTGATCCCTAAAACTACAGAGGAGACCACTCAGTCCTCAGACACTACTTTAGGGAGAGATAAATATGCAGCTACATCAGCAGGAGCTGTTTCACATTGGAGCATATTACTGTTAACTAGGTTCTAGATTGCAAAATTCAGACTTCATAAGAACTTCATAATTTGCAGGTCCTAATTTTTGGTTGACAAGTCCTAAAATGGGCCAATGAGATTCAATAGTTAATGTTAACAGTACATATATGTTTTGTATCTTCACGATAACATCTGAAAAATAATTGTCTCATTACTGTGTCTATTTTGAATGCTAATATTAGTTCATGTGCAATGTTAAAGAAGTAGGGTTTACAGATTGCATTGGTGGAAGTTGCCTGTAAGAGGCTACAGACATAACCAAGAGTTTCCAAATTTTCCTTTTGAAATTTATAAGCATTATAGTATACTGTTGTTAACTATTTTGTTTTAAAAAACAACTCATAGAAATACGTTCTGAGTGCAAAGGGAAAACAATTGGACATATTTTATCACTCTAGGGTTCACAGAAAACCAAGTTCTGTACCGTGCCTGGTACAGTAGTGGAAGCCGTGCGGAAACAATTCGAGAAAGTGCAGAGGATCTCTCCACAGAAGACCTTTGCTCAGTACCAACAGCAGCATAGATCTGTACAGGTAAAAATAGCATTTTAATAATAACAAATTAGGTATGCTCTGCTTTATAACTGGAGGAAAAATATGACTGCTTGCTTTACAAAATTCTTCATTATCACTGAGACATTTCCCTAATGCTCATACTCAGAATTTTATCTTTGAGATGTACCACAGTAATCATATATTTTTTATGCAGATGAACACTCAATATAGACTAGAGTCAACTGACATAGATTGAGTAAAGCAGTTACTACCACAGCAATATTTTATACTGAGCTGTCTGTAAGACTGTAATTTATACATTATCAAGTATCATGATGATATTTTGCATTTATTGCACTTGATGTGATATTAAGTAATTCTCTTTCAAAAGGAGTTTCCTGCTTCCATTGAATTAAATCTAATAAACTCCCCTAAAGAGATCAAAAATTGCACAGAATACTGCATAAAAGTAGAACAAAGCAGCAGCTAAGTGTTATTTTAAATAAAAGGCCTTTACATTTTATTACTTCGTTAGCATATACCATGAAAAATTGTTGTAAGAGATAATGACTTTGGACTATGTGAAATCCCCTACAATAAAACACATTGTACAATCTGTCCCATGCACTCTAAAAAACAGTAATGGCACAATAAATTTCTCTACCATCCTGCACTTCTTGGAAAGATTTTAAAGAAATATTGTTCACCCAACACTGCAGAAAAAGACACAACAGCGTTCTGCCATAGGTTCATTTTAATCTTAAGTATCATCATATCTACCAGTCATCTCTCATTTCTTATACATTAATACCTACATCAGCAACTTGCACAGACAACAAACAAAACTCCAGTTTATAGGGGAGAAGACACAGGTTGCTGTAGAGGTATTAATGTATTTTCAACTAAGCAGAAAATCCCATAGTGGGACATAATCATATTGGTGCATAATCCATGGTGATGGGAAATGTTATGCACATACTTTTCTGATGATGTGGCCCAACATAGCTGTCAGTTTTCTGGATGAGAAATGCAGAACCATGTTCAGAAATTATGCGACTTTTCTCTTATTCAGAACCCAATAATTTTATTTCTGTGATGTGCAGATGCATTTTCCCTGGATATCTAGCTCTCCCCAAATCCACTATGATGGTTCCATTTCTTCAACAAAGATGTGACCTCAAAGCATACTTACCCATTTATTTGTCCTCTGTGGCTTGTTGAGAAGGCTCTCTCAAATCATCAGCAGAAACAGCCACGTTCACAGAAAATAAAGTTACTCAGACTATATGGAACCAACTTTAAATTCAGGTTAAATAACTTACTGCAAGACCATAAAATCCCATTTCTATCTAACATAACTGCACTTACATGGAAAATGGGATTATACACTTAGGTAGTCGAAAGATTATTCAAGGTCACTGAATCCATCCTGGGGCAAAACAGAGAAAACATGTAGTTTGAAGACAGATCTGCAGATCTGGATAAATTCAAAATATTAATCCAAGCTAAAATAAGAAAGTAATTCATTTTTTCTAAACAGTGATCTAAATAGCTGAACATTTTACTACATATTCAATCATTGCATAAGGAGTTCATGGCTTTTAATTCAAAATATTGCCATCAAATATGGAAATGATAATTATTTATCTTTCTGTTTTTCTCAGGCAGCAGCCATCACTCATACTGTAAGGGAGACTGGCTACTTGTGATAGGTGCCATATGAATGTGCCATAGTAGAATGCACTAAACTCTTGTCCAGAATGCTGAGCAGCAATGAAACCTGATCACAGACTTGTCATGTGCTCACAAATTCAACTAGAGTTTGATTAGATATCTGGTCTTTAATTTGGCCACTGACATCATGAGCACCTTTTGCCATCAGCCACCAAGCTGAGAAGAGGCCATAACCTTTGGTGTTATAGTTGTGCAGATGTCAGCCTGGCGCCCTTTGCTATCCCAGCTCAGCTAGGTATCTGCTCAGGCAGTCTCACACCGTCAGAAACAAGCCATTTCTGGCAAGTGAGCTGAACCTCCTACATAGCAAAGAGGAGTGAAATACACCTAAAGCATCTGATATTTGCTCAGCCATATAGTATTGGGTGTCAGGAATGACACAGGTAGAGCTCCCCCTCCTTCATTGAGGGTCACTCTAGACAAATTTTCTAAGATGGTTAGCGTTGCAATTGCCAATTTTCTAGCAACTGCAGAGGATAAGATTGAATAATGGGACAATGCTATTGAATGGTGAAAACCTTACATTTTTAGGAAAATCTTTCATATAGTGCCCAGGACACCCTAAGTATACACATACAACTAAGCAAGGCTGACAAATCATAGGGATGAAGTGAGGATAAGTGAAACTCTGATAAGAAATTTCTACAGGACTCTCACAGTACTGATGCGCAGATGATACTGTGCTAAGAACATAAACAGGTAAAAAAGCAATATGTTTACTTCCATTGCTGCCTGCAAGTTTGTACATACTCTTCATTAAGAACAGAAAGTTCTAAATCTGCCAATACATAAACAATATTCATTAGCCAACTTCACAGATAGATTATAAGATGACCATAATGTACAGTTCAACTAAACACAGTATGCTTCAAATGTGAGCTAGTAAAAGGCTTTCTTGTGCTTGGAGGAACTTTTGATCCCCTTGAACAATACATACATATACATATAGAACTGCACACATGTTTTATGTACATATACATATAGCATACACATTCTGATCTGAAAAGCAATTTTATTTTTGAAAGGGAAAGTATGTTTTGTCTATTATCAGAACAGAAGGAAACTGTATAAGTACCAACACAAAAAAAGCAAACCTTGGTCTAAATTACACAGAGAAGTTATTGAAAATTCAAATCTTGGCACATTTTGCAATCAGAAGTCCATCTAAATTATTGCAGCACAGAGGCACTAAAATTGATGTATGGGCCACTAACAGGTAAAACGTGTGTAGCAATTACAGTTTGCTTTAGTAACAGAATCTGAAAGCCTACATAAAAGAACCACTCCTCTAACAAACCTTACACAGACTCGTTCTCATATTGTTTTAGGTCAGAATGACTTATTACCCAGAGGCACAAAGGACACTATAGTCCTCTGTCCTAAGTACCACACAGATATGCATGGGAAGGCCAGCAGCTCACATGAAGGGTGATGTGAAACAAACATGAGAGACTGGAGGATGATGACAGTCTGAAATAGAAATAAAAATAAAATTACCATAAGAAACCGTTCATGAGCTAGCAGCATTCCAACAATCATCCAGCTGACAGTGTTTTCTGAAGCTTATTCATGATAGGTCATAGAATGAACAAGAAGTAATTGACCATCAAATAATTCTATAGAATATTCTCCAAAATCTATGGGATCTACAAAACATGCCATAAACGTGATGGGATAGACTAAATTAATCCTACCTACAGTAATGCTATATCCAACAGCTGACAACTACAGAGGAGGGATGAAACCACAGGTCTTCAAGCTCTCTATTTGTTTGGAATAATAAACAAGCAGCATTTAACACTCTGTTACTGGAATTTCAATTAGCCATCTTTACTGACACACAAAATATGAGATCCTCCATGTCCCTCTTCCCCCCTGCATGCCCAGAGCAAGGCTATGTAATTATATTGTCAAAATCTGGCTTATAATGTTTAGGCTGCATTTCAGAGAGCCACAGCTATCACATTAAACAATTATAATCTTTTGCAATATGGCAACTATTTCATAAGCAGTACCAACGTTACAGCAATAAAGCAGTAGTGACATTCAGATTAGATTTGCTTCCTGACCACATTAAGCCTAATTATATTTCTTTTTAATACCCCACACCATTCAAAGGACACATAATGACTATTCTGAACATATTTCGTGTCTCATGAATGAGTTTTCCAGTAATGAGAGCTTGACTTACATATCTAAAACATGCACATAAGAACAGAAATGCATATCTTAAATGAAAAAAGCATATATATGCATAAATATATTAAAAAGCACATCCACATAAAATGAAAAGGCATATTATACATACACCTACGCGGTCATTAAAGAGAGAATAGATGGGAAAATTTGCACTTCATTTTCTTTGAAATGCCTCTTTTCAACTTGGTATGGGGTTAGCTCTGTGTCTCCTCATATGTTGTGCAGCTCCCTCAGAACTGTTATGCATACAGAACCTGCAAGTGTAACCATGCTCTCCTCCAGCCTCAACTCACTGTGATAGTTCAGACAGGATTGATTTTGATACTGGTAATGCACTAAGTCATTTACTGGGCCAATAATAAGAAAATTAATTCTGCCTTTTGGTCGTATGATTTTAATTCATATTATAGTTAAAATAGAGGATTTGGAAGCACAGAAGCGGAAAAGAATTCCTAAAGCCCATGAAGGGATGCACGTTGTTTCTCTGCCATAGAATCTAAAAGCCCTTGCTGCCTCCTGTACGGCAGAAATTACAGGCCAGGCAGTAGATGCCCCCCTACATTAATTTAGCAGAAATATTAAAGGAGTGCAAGCAGTTTAAGCATTCCTTAGTTTGAAGGTGGAATAAATCCTATAAATATATGCTTTTTCATGGGATGACTAACAGTGAGAACTAATTTCTTGCCCCCAAATCAGCTGGATTTCAAGGAGGCGCCAGGATTTGAGATGTAGGAAGCTTACAGCTCTCTCTGTTGCGCTAGATATATAGCTCCAATCTCAGCAACACAGGCCTGCTTCCACTCAAGTTACACTGAACACTTGGGAAGCTCTTGCTGGAGGGACCAGAAGTTCCTTTCATTTGAAAGCTTATTATCAGTAGAAACTCATAGGAAAGCTTCCTTCTCACAAAGGAAGAAGAAAATATAATTTGACATGAGTGAAATTATTTGTTAGATGACTCCGTGTGCATGAGAGAGGAAGCACAGGACTGCTGCCTTAATAATATCAATCTTTCAGATTTATTTCTTCTAATCACTAAACCTCAAAGTACCCCACGGACACAAGTAGTGTGCTGTAGCACAGGTTCTATGTCAGGCTTCAAGTAAGGAAACAAATCACTGCCAGAATCTGAAGCCAAAATAAACACAGATAACCTCAGAAATCAGTTTGCATAGACATCTTGGACAGTGCTTTAAACTCCCAACAATATGCTCTGATTATTACACTGCAGTTATCAGGCTTATAGATACAGTGTTAACATGTATTTTAAAGGATCTTTTCATTAGCCTATGGTCATGTTTTTCATAATTGCAATTCAGTGTGATTTTTGCATTGGAAGAGCTGTATAAAGCATATGCAGGAAGTCATCACCCCTTATATAGTTGTATTACTATACTTCCTTTTGCAAAGTTGCATTACCCTCATGCTGCTGCCAGGCAACAAGTTGATAGCACAGCACATAAAGCCAGAACCAGTCTTCCTAGCCACGTTTGTCCCCTTCCGGTCCCATTATACACTGTATTCACGCAGCTTGCCACATCTGCTGGCCAGCGTCTGGCTGCAGTAACAAAAATGACTTGACATCTTCTGTGTTATAAAAAAAGCCTGTCCCAATGTTTATGGCAACAAATATCAAAGATAATAACAATGGTACTCTGCTGTAAAATGACTATTCTAGTTACACCACTTACATTAGAATTTATTTGTGACAGCCCTTCATATACTTAAAAAAAAAAAAAAAAACAACAAAAAAACCAAAAGACCAACCTATTAGCTGTTAATGTGCAATTACTTTTGTTTGTCTTGAGGAAAAATCGAGTAGCAGGCACCACACAGTATCAAGAAGCACCAGGGAAGCTGAGTGCAATGAAATGACCTCCAAAGAAAGTCAAACAGAAGCCTCTCAAACACAAGAGGTAACTATATTAATTAATAATAATCTCATTGGACAATTATATCTGTTTTGCTCCTTCCTCCTTTACCACTTGGTACAGCAAGATCTGGATGATCTGCTCACAGCTTCTCTCATTAGGTAGTGCATAATAATTTTTAAAGGTGTTTTATTAAGTGTTTTTAATTTGTTATTGTTTTAACATGATAATTATTAGGTTTACGTTCATATTTTTCATTGAGGTAACATTTTAGATATGGTTTTAGAAGTACAGAAAATTCTTATGTATTGCAATAAATCCTGTATTAAAGTGAAGGTTTTATGTGCAGGTTTCTCATCGTGAGCAAGTTACTCATGAAATAAAAATGGCTTCTACATCCACTGAGCATGACACAGGTAAGAAGTTGCATGAGAATAAAGGCTCACAAATGAGCAATGGCAATTGTCTTTACTCACACAAATGTACCGTTCTTAGCGTACAAACATGAAAACACACATTGCTCTGACTTCTCAGCAAAGCATATTCCTTGACGTCAACAGGACTTAAATGAGTTTAAAATTCAGTATGAAGAGATTACTTTTGCACAAGGATGTGGTTTTAAATATGATCTCAGTTGCTTGAAGGAACTAAAAACATAGGCAAACACTAGTCTGTGTATGTACACAGCTGTGGATGAGAAAGGTTGAGTTGTACCCGAACTGAATAACCCTGCAGAATATGTCCACAGTATTAAAACACTGCTGCTGCTGCAGTTTAGTCTTTGTACTAGAATTCATGTGTTATATTCTTCCACAGATCCTAGTCAACCTTTAGCCCTGCCACATGACTCAGGTATGGCAAAACAGGTTATATCACGTGCATCAACAATTATTTTGTTGTTTTCTCTATGGATTTCTGTTCCTGATCAAGTGACTCTCTAGACTTCTACAAGGCTAAGCACAACTTTTCTAAGATAATAATGTTCTATAATTCACTGATAAAGTCAATTTCATAAAATGCAGGTTGGAGGAAAAACAATTATTTTGTTCTTCCCATTGCAGCAATCAATTCAGCTCAGAATGAAGAGCTCCCAAAGACTGTAACAGAGATTTTAAAACAGCAAATTGAAAAGGCAGCTCAGGAAAGGGCTGTTCACTCTGACAGAGACACCACATCATCTGCAAAAGAAGTAAAGGTCTGTGTTTTTAATGAGAGATCTTTCCTTATGCAAACTAGAAGTTAAGAAACTGGTTTCTATTTTGAATAATTATTATATAAAATGTAACCTATGAAAGTGGTGGGAATATATGGACTTTTGGAATTAAGTGCACATAACATAATATGAAGTACATTAGATGGCTCAAAAGTACTTACAGTATGAGACAAACACAATTAAAAGTAAAAACTTCTCTATTCCTGTTCTCCTCTGCTGAATAGTCTCCTCCTTGCTTGTTTTGAACATGTATGTATAATTTGTCACCACAGATTCTCAGAAGCATAGAAAATATCCCTTTCAGAAGAAATGAAAATGAGCATAGGCTACAGCTAAAATTTACATTATGCTTATAATGCAAAGTCTGCATTTGTTGCAGCAAAAATTCCAAAACTGTTCAATCATCATTTTGCATGAATTCCACAGTTCTTTTCACATATATTCTATGGTGCAAATAGCACAGCTCTTAGCTCAAAAGATTGGCTTTATGCATTCTGAGCAATAGTTGATGGATTATGTCTTTCTAGATCTTATTATAATCCTATTGCTTGGATGCTTGCAGAACTAGCTTTTGTGAAGAATAGAAAAGTTGTTTCCTATGTTACTATGCTTAAAAAAAAAAGAGAGAGAGAAAAGAGAAAAAGAAAAAAACAATCAAAAGCACAAAAAAACCCAACACTTTTGTTCCTTAAAGATGGAAAATACATACCAGGTAATTATATTGCCTTCAACAGATAGTTCATCTACTGCTACAACTTCAGCAGACTACAGGAAATTTTTACACCAAGGGAAAAACAGGATAGAAAATCTACCTCTGCAAGTATTTGCTCCAGATACCATGAATATGGAAGCACAGGAAAGTTTTCCACCACTCATGTGAAAGCTTCAATGGAAATGCCAGTAAATTCTGAGTCCAACTCTCCAACAAAGACCACTGTCTCCACAGATCTGTACCCAAAGCAATCCATGTGAACTAAGAGGTTCATATAAACGTTTATACACACGGTTAAGAAAAAACTTAAGGAAACATTTTCTAATAACTTAGGGAAACATTTTCTAATATTTTATCTGGTGAATCTGAAACATGGAACATGATTTCAGATGTGTAGCAGGCTAGAAATGGCTTTGCCTTCATCACTAATAAGACCAAAAAAACAATGCTTAGAGCGGCGTGAAATTCAGAGAGGAGAGGTCCTCTCTGTAAGATGGGTCTTTGAGAACCAGCCTTTCATTCCACTTAAAGATGATCCACCAGACCCAGATCAAGCCAGAAGTATTGCAGACCAGGGAACCATTTGTAGGAATTGATAGATGCAGGTTAACCAAGATGGCCACGGCTCACAGCTGAGGTGCAAAGAGTAGATTTATTCCATCATTTCAGTGTCACACATGCACTAAGTCAAAACTTAGCAGGGGCAAAAAGCACCAGCCCAATCTGGGCTTTGCCTTATGTATCAAAGGCCTGATGCACATGTAAATTCACCATCAGGCTGTGTTTTTACAATTCTAAACTCTTTTATCTCCCTTCCACCCAAGACAGTGGGAAAGAGTGCTTTTAAGTCTTTAACAACATTCTGTTACCTTCTTTGAGAGAATTTAATTTCTTTCAACAGACAGAAAACAACTCAAAGGAAACACAGTATGTGAAAATTACCACACTGAAAATATATTCTTAGCATTCCCAGCTACAAAGTTATCTTGAGTGAAAACAACTAAAATTAACCATCTCCTCTCCAAATCTTCTGTTTGCAACCCTTTTCTCCACACATCATTGCAGGTGGAAATGTTAAATACACAACCTGGATGTTTCAGACCCAGCCTCTTGATTTGCTGTGGGAACATGCTCCAGGCTGTGCAGGAACTATGGACAGTGTTCTTGCATTAGGTAGAGTAGGTGTTAGTGCAGGCAGGTGGATGTTTGAAATGCAGGTACTGAAATATATGAATAAAAATCATTCCATTGAGGAACAAGAATCAGCTGAAACTTGTATCTAGGAAGTTTCTAATGGTGCTGTAAGGACTCCAAGGAACATGCTGGAAGCAAAGAGCCTGGATAAATTTCAGCAGCTCAACTCAGTGAATGTCCTTAACTTGTTGAAGACAAAGTCTAAATTGAAAAGGAAGCTGAGCTCTTCACAGTAGAGTGAAGTCTAATATATTTCAAACCTCAGAATAGCACACCAGCCAAACGCAGCCTTTACCCATGATCAAAGACCTGGTGGAAATTAAAGTCCTGTGTGTAGTCTTAGTGGAGGAAAATATAAGTGGTGCTGTACACGTGGCAAAACAGTTAGCTGCAACACAGCCTTGGCACACATGGGATTCAGAGGAACTAAGTCCAGCTGAAACATCCATTACAAAAATCAGACAAGCAGGATCAAGATCCCACAAAAGATGCATCAGCTCCTGTAGCACCAGAGCAAAGCACAGTTTCTGAGTTTGAATTTGATGGTGATGATACACAAGTAGTACAAAAATATGAGGTAGGAATTCAAATAGATTTCCATGAAGACCAGAAGGTAAAGAAGCTGAAGATGCAGATACTGTTGTGAAAATCTCTGTTTAGTGAAAACCTCTAATTGCTATCTTTTCCATCGTTATTAGGATTAACTCTACAAGATCTATCTTGAAGAATTATATAGAGCAAATTAAAAAGATACTAAAAATATTAAAATTAAAATAGCATTAGTGTTGTAATGTTGAAAAATATTAACATGCTAGAAAATGTGCACAGAATGCATCTGATTTTTCATGCTTAAAATTAATGCAACATCCTCTAAACTGAGGTAAAATGTTGCCTGTATAAAACAGCTGTAGAAATAAAATAATGGCCATGTTTTGTGCACATCTTTTTTTAGTTTTTTAAAATACAAGACGTGACTTTAAACAAAGTGAATTATGTTTCAGTCGGTTTTCTGTTTGAGTAAAATTAATGAAATTGTTTAGAAATTGCTACAATTTATTTATTTTTAAATTCTACTATTTCCTGCTGGGTGATTTCACCGCTTCATGAGGCCCTAGTCTGAAATCAGGTGGCAAAACCTGATGTCAGGGTGCAGGTTTCACATCACGAAAAACTGGAGCCACTCAGTGTCCCTCAAAGAGCTGGAGCCCATTATTTGTATCATATTGAAGTAAACTTTTTAACTATATGATGTGAATATAGGTATATATTTTTATATTTGAATATGAAGTAAACACCAAAAATAAATGTCTTCTCATGGTGCATGTGTTACTTCAAAATTATATTAAAATAGCATTTAGATTGCAGTTATGCATTTGAAACTTAGAAAATACTACATATGCTATTACATGATGAACATAAGTGTTCTCCTTTTCGCATCTATTTTCGGCACTGAATATGCATGGCATCCTGCAGGAAGACCAGATGTTGCCATAGCTTTAGCCATTTGAAATACATGAACAGAATGCTTATGCTTGAACAGTAAAGAAAACAGCAGAAGAAAGCTAAATGTTCCTGTACCAGTGTAACTCCTAAACAGAAAGCTCTGCTTTGGGATTCCCAACACTGTGAACACTAGGAGCAGAATTAAAAACAAATAGTTTGTGAGCCTGTAAAATGAGGCACAGCCTGGTGGTGGCCCAACAAAATACTTCATGTGGTGGGTGGAATCTGGCTGACAGCTAAGTCCACACCCACTCATCCACTCCCCCACAGTGGGATGGGACAAAAAATCAAAAGAGCAAAAGGAAGAAAACCTGCGGGCAGACGTAGAGACAGTTTAAAAGATAAAGCAAAGCTGGGGCCCGAGCAAAGCAAAAGAAGGAATTGATTCACTACTTCCCATCAGCAGGCAGATCTCTAGCCACTTCCTGGAAAGCAAGGCAGGACCGAACATGCACAACAGTGACTTGGGAAGACAAACACTACAGCTCTGAATGTCCCTTCTTTCTTCTCCTTTCCATCAGCTTTTATTGCTGAACACGATATCATATTCTATGAAATATCCCTCTAGTCAGCTGGGGTCAGCTGTCTTGGTTCTGTCCCCTCTCAACGTCTTGTGCATCCCCAGCCTACTTGCTTCGGACAGGGAAAAGGAGCAGAGTGGGAGGAAGAAAAGACCTTGACACTGTGCAAGTACAGTTCAGCAATAGCTAAAACATTGGTGTCTTGTCAACTCTTCAGCCACAAATCCAAAGCACAGCACCACATGGCCTGCTATGCAGAAAATTAACTGAATTCTAGACAGTCTCAGTATAAATAAGCATGTTAAAAGTAGAAATGAGCAGAAATACCCCATAGCAGTAGAATAGAAAGTTCTCTATATAGTCAAGGCTCTGGATTTTTTTTTTAATCTCTTCTACCTGGTAAATATTGATGACCTCAAACAGTAGACCGGCCTTTCCCCCACTGATTTTGTAGGACTGTTCTTCTCTGACCTTGGTGTTCCCAGGGTCTCTCACAGTATTTTCCCTTAGTCCTGGCTGCACGTGCAGCTTTTTGCCTCTTCTTGAATACGTTTTCCCAGAGGCACCATGAGCGTGACAAAGGGGCCCAGCCGTGCCCTGCAGTGGGTCCACTGGAGCCATCTGGAACTGGTTGTCTCCAGCATGGGACAGCCCCTGCCTCTCCTCACAGAGGCTGCCCCACAGCCACCAAAACCATACCACTGACACACAACACATGATTAATTTTCATGAAGATGAATACTGGCTCCACTATTCAGTCCTGGAAGTGGTTTGGGGATAAACTTCCCTTAAATCCCCTCTGTTTTTCATTTCCCTTGACTTGCCTTCTGCAGCAGAACACTCACTCTCAACTACCCAACTACACCAAAGTATAACCATTCAATTAAATAGTTTTCCAGGAGACATGTCATCTTTTTTCTCCCTCCCAATCACCTTATCCACTTCCTCTCCTCCCTCTTTACATTCAGAATACTTGTGTACCTAAGAATATTCAGCTGAGTCCTTGCTGGTGGTTTATTCTTTTTGCAAGTTCTACATTATCTTGAAGATACTTAATTTTCAGCATTTTTCACAGCTCTCATTATGGACTAGAGGTATGTGGCAACTAAACCTGTGGTTATAAAATCTACATTGCTTTCTGTCTTGATTTGTGAATTGCCATAAAATCGATACCAGCAGGCAAACCAAACACAGACAGAATACTGAAATGGGCCAAATTTTCTGCTGATGTCAAGGGACATTATTATTGTCAGTGGAGATATACTGATACAGCAATTATTTCATCCACCCTCTTTGTATTTGTCTGCTAGTTCCATTTTCACAGTAATTCAGAGATCAAGACAGAAGAGCAGCAGGTATTTTTCCAAGCCCAACAGATTATCCATTATTTCCTTCTGCCCCTTACTGGTATGAGATAAACTTTCTACTCATGTTTCGTGCTTTATAGAGAAATAGTTTCCTTTATAATTAACTATGATTCATAGAAGAAAGAATTTGATATAGCCGCTAATATAAATGTAGCTATCTCAGTATTAAAATTTAACTGAGAAAAGTATCAGGTCTGGAAATTAAAATAGTAAAAATAAAAAATAATTATTTCCATAACATATCTAGACCATACGAGTGCACGGTCTGCAGGTTACCACAAAAGCAGTAATCCCTAATGTGCTTTTGGTATAGTTAAGCAAAACTTCTTCATCAGAATTTCAAACATCAGCACCTGTTTATTGATCTTTCCATCACATTGTACATTCAAAGATTGTAAATACATTATACTCAATTCCACTAATACTATAAAACCTTTTATTATCCTATCTCATTTCACAAAATAATTAGTTATTACAAATAAATGGAAAATATTGTACCTGATGAAGTGAATAGTCCTTTCAAATGCATGGATTCCTGCAAAGAGAAAGGTAAATAGTCTTTCACTTCCTAGGCTTTACTGTTAGTTGAACAAAAATGAAGCCCTATAATTACCACCTGAGATACCAGCTAATGGAAAGTGGATAACGTTCTAACAAAATATATGGATATTTGTTAAAATAAAATCATAACATGGCTTAAACTAACTTGTAACTTTTTAATATGTGGTTCTAGAAACTGCAGATTCAAGAAAATGAAACATGCAAACTCTGCCAACAGAGAGTTTACCCAATGGAATGTCTTGTTGCTGACAAGCAGAATTTTCATAAATCATGTTTCCGATGTCATCACTGTGGCAGTCAATTGAGGTAAGAAGTAATTGCATGTCCACCCACAGAACTCTGCTTATGAGTATAACTACAGATGGTGAAATTATTTTCAACTGTGTTGGATTGACAGGGAGGTATCCTGAATTCCCCTTTTCTTCGCTGCTCCTCACATCTGCCCTGTGACAGGGAACAAGTTCTTTAAATTCTCTAAAGAACTGCTCCATCCCAGTACCTTCCAAATTCTTCTGCACATTACTTCCTACTGACTGTTACAGACCTTCAGGAAGCAGCAGACACAGAAACTTGGGTGGATCTGAACACACCAGATTTTCTCGTAATTTCCCTCATCTGAAAAGGAGTTATGATGGTTCTCTGCATTAGCAAACCACTCTGCAACCTTTGTATGAGATGCAGGATTTATTGCTCTATCAAACTGCAAAGGCCAACAGTTTTGACTTTAACACGTTGAGGGTTAGTTACACACATTTCCTTTACTTCATTTGGGAATCCAAATATAATTAAACACAAATTTCTGTAATTTGCAAAAAGGCTAAAAAAAAATTGTGCTGTGGAACATTTCTATTTGAAGCTTAGGCTGTGCAACAACTGAATGAGTTTACGTTCTTTCTTAAATCACCAAGCATGACTCTTCTCCTTCATTTTGACTTTGAGATTGTATGGGACATCGCAAGTAAAAGCAGGGAAGGTGTGTGGTCAGAATTGGACAATACATTGAACTTGCTCTCTTTTTGCTCTTCCTTTCTTTATATGTACTGATATATAGAGGTGCTTGAAATAGCAAATAAAATGTAAAGTTCACGGTAGTTTATGATATGTAAAAGTATAAAACTGATTTTCTTGCATTTGGCAGCTTGGGAAATTATGCATCACTTCATGGAAAAATATATTGTAAACCCCATTTTAAGCAACTTTTCAAGTCAAAAGGAAATTATGATGAAGGTTTTGGACACAAGCAGCATAAAGAATTATGGAGTTCTAAGGATCAACAAAGTTCAGTTGACAGTACTCACACTGAAGAAACAAATCCCATTAACAGTATACCCATTGATCCTAAAACAATTACCGAAGTTGATAAAGACTTGTACTCAGGTACTGAAGGTGCTCATGCTGATATTTTGGATAATAATTTGAAAAAATCCACAGAAAGAGGTAAATTAAAGATGTCGTGGCCTCCTTCAACAGATGATGAAACATCTAAGAAAACATTTTCTATTGAAGAAGTAGCTAAAGTAAATAAGTCAAAGTGGCCCCCAGAAGGTTTTGTTCAAGAAAATTCTAGTTTGAACACAAATAAACCTCTGGGCAACAAAATCGAATCTCAGAAAAAACACACTGAGATGGAGCAAAATAAAAATAACACTTCAAATGCACAACAAAATCAACACTCATCCTTTAGCTCTCTGTCTGAAAAAGAAGCAAACAAAAATGAAGCAGGCAATAAGGGAAATGATGAGAAAGCTGGGAACATGCCAGATAAGCTGAATAAACCAGAAGCATCACAGAATAAGGAGGAAAGTAGAAAGGATATTAAGGAAGGTGATAATGTGATTGTGAATAGTACTGGGAAGGAGCAAGGGAAAAAAATTAATGAAATTGATGATTCAGAAGTTGTACAGGTTACTAATATTGATGATGTAACACTACAAAGGAATCACAAAGAATGCAGCTTGAATAACAACAACAATAATAATTATTCCACTTTTTCACATCTAAACATTTGTAGAGAGGAAACAACTCTCTCAGCTATGTCTAAGACAACGGTAAGCCCTGTGATTTGCACAGAATCACAGCATGCCTTTGCAAAGCTGGACAGTCAGTCTGGAAATGAAGAAATATTTGAGATGTATGAACCTCATGAGAGCTATTCTAGTGATACTGTAACTGTTTCACAGGATGAACAGGACTCAAAAGATGAAGATGCCGTTACCTCTAAGAGTCTTGCTCAATTTAACAATGATGCCACTTTTCAGAAGTCTCATACTAATAGCACATTAGGTTTAAAGGAGGCAACTAATACAACATTGCCTGTTGATATCGAGTTGGTGTGCACTGGAGAGGAATCCAAATATAACAAAAAAGACAAAAATTTATATACTATTTTATCTAACACTATGAAAACATCTTTTCTTAAAAAAGACAACCTGGTTTTAAACTGTGGTCTAATAGACTCTGTAGACATAAGTAAAAGCTCCTGCACACCATATTCAAAAGAACGTGGAAATTGTGATACAGAACTGAATTATATTAATGCTTGTCAAGGAAGTGAAATAAAAAAAGTGGCAAAGAATGACATAAAAACAAGCTTAGATTTACTGTGCTCAAGACATACTGCTGTTCCATCATTCCACGGCAAGAAAGTCAAGTTCAAACAGCTCACTGTAGAGCAACAAATTGAAAGAAATAGATTTTATGATGAAAATTATTAAACCAGCTAAGTTGTCAGGCATGTTTGTCACTCATTATAAAGTATGTCATAAATAGGCATTTCTTCAGTCCAGTTATTTTAGTCCTCCTTGAAGAATTTAATATCCAGAGATTTCATAAAAAATAATACAATTATACTGTCAATTAAGCAGATTTTATCTACTTAGTTTATATTTAAGGCAATAAAGATGCATAAGATAGAATTTTTTCAGTCAGTAATTAAAAAAAAATCTTGTTTTTCTACATTTCTGAACATTGCAAAGAATATTTTACTACATGACCATCCTGGAGAAACAATAAATTTTAATATTTATCATTTGTAATGATTTCAGATGTGAAGCACCTGGTGTGCACAAAAAATTCCATAGCTTTTTTTCTTATGTATTATTATTGTAACTGAGCTGTTGCTCCATGACAAACTATGTACATTTGTTGTGTTAACTCATAGTAGAAAGTCTGGGTTTGGTTGGGCTTTTGGGGGGTGGTGTTTGGTTTTTTGTTTGTGTTTCTGGATTATCATGCACTATTTAGTTTGAAATGGACTTGTTATTGAATAGTACAGCGGGCTGGTGAACAGTAATGTTTTGCTATATTCCTAGAGCTGCTATGAATGACAGAAAAATCCCCCAGAGTGTGTAAATTTTAACCCAGGACAAAACCAAACAACCTGGGCAGAACTGGAACAAGGTTTGGGGACACTGAGCAATTAATACTAGTGGTTGTCTCTGTAACTAATTCAATGTCATTTTAACTGAAGCAGCTCTCCAGTTTCATACTTAAACCTGTACAAACTTATGCAGACTTCGCACTTTTTTCCTTAAAACCTATGCTTATGGATTAACATTTGCTCTCTTAACACTAGCTTGCATGAAACAGCAACATATCATTAACTGTTGACAATGCATAATAAAAAAGTACTTTACAAAAAAGTATTTTGTGAAGTTTTTTCAATATGAATTTATACATATGATTTTCCTTAAATAGTGTATGAAATTCTTCATGTAATAAATATTTTCAACTGAAGTGTGGGTGAAAAGGAAGGATAATCAAAATACAGTTTTTAAAATAACTCCTGAAGTATCTGACACGGGCAGGTGTTTGGAATAATTTGCAGGAAAGACAGGCTGATGTTAAATATTTAAGAAATTATTGTGCAGAGTTCTAGAACAAAATACCTGCTGCACTGCAACTCATTGTCCAAGGCAACAAGATTGTGGGTAAGTAGGATGTCCACGTCACTCTTCCATACCTGCACAGAAACAATGATAAAGTGTCACACAAGAGAAAAGCTATACATAGTATTTCTTCCACAGGAATATTTTAAGAGTATACTACTTCAGAGTATTCTCATGAAATGCAGAAATACAGACAGACCCCTTACAATGAATATTGTCACAAGAAAAGCCTTCACACAAGGCACTCCAATACCACTTCATTTGAGAACTTTATTAAAAAGCATTAGCCTACAGCCAAATGTGAACATTTTAGAATTATTTTTGCAGGAGCACTCTCACCCCATTTGGCTGTAACCATGATAAATTATTTTTTAAAACCCAAGAGAGTAAATAGAGCTAAAATATGTTGTTTGCTTTTTGAGTAGATAACACAACTAAAAATAACATCAAAAAAATTCCTGCTGAGACAACAAAAAAAAATCTCAGAAAATGTATGCCCGAAGAAAATCAATGGAATTTGTCTGGAACATTTAGTCTTCTACATTAACTAAACTTTCAAATCTTCCCCATTTCTCAAAGTTTCTTATTAGATATAAGATTGGTCTTGACTGTATTAGTTAGGAAAGAGAAATGATCTTATGGGTGAAATGACATTTGTTTATGTGCACATATGTAGGTATGATCAAGTTAATAATTCAAGTGAAAAGCTAATATGGTTGCAACATTTGTACCTGTGCCATTTTCCATCCTTTTCGTATTCTGATGAATTCAGACTTGTATACAACAATTTTAGAGGAGTGACAAATATCAGTTATGATAGTAAAAACTCATTTACACCAAGAAATTAATGTCTCTGAAAATATCTTTACAATATATAGACCTACAATATATAGACCTAAGCAAAATAGAAAATGAGTTACAGAAAAAGTGTGTTCCTTTTTGCCAGCTAGAGACGACTGAAATAAAGGCTTTGATGAAATAGTAGAAAAAAAACAAGACTACAGAAAATTTTTTATTCCCAGAGGGAATATTATTTAAAGACAACATACATAAATGACATACCATACAGGGCAAATCTCTTTTGATATTCCATGACTGAGATTCTGCTTAGCATAGGATGGACACAGAAATGCAGAGCCTTCCTCTAGTGGATTCATTAGCTTTGCATTCTCTTCTCTCAGCGAGTAGCCTTTTTTTCTTCTTCCAGTAGTGAGGGTGGATGTTAAGGAAAAAATAAATTATATTATATAATTCTTTATTTGAAGCACAAGCCCCATTATACTGTCTTGGAGTTCTTATACAAATCATAAGGATGACACCCTGTAAACCTGTTCTAGAAAACTAATAGCCATGGGCAATAAAAATTACAAAAGAATGAACATTATCTGAAAAAAAAATGAAGTATAAGAGTTCTTCAGAACTTGAGCCAGAAGCTTAAAGCAGAAGCAATCAGAGACAAGATAAGGCTGGAACTCACTGAATCTTACTCCCTTTTCCAAGCAAGGCAAAAGAGATAGGTAATGCCTGAGTCACCCTAATGCACACATATATTACCACTACAGAAGTCACACTGTTAAAAGAATGCATATAGCAGCTGGAAGTGAGATTGGCATAAAATCTGTAGCTAGAAAGTAGCAACCTTACTGATATTCTCTAAATTAAATACTGAATTGATAGTAATTCCTTAGCTGCCAAAAAGCCCTATGAATTTTGGTGAAACCATACACATTTACTGCAGCCAAGGAGCTGGTCTTTATGGCTTTAAAAGAACTAGCATCCATTAGAACCATACTTTTGTGAGAGAAAGTTGTTATTCTAAGTTTAAACAGTTTTAAGTAATCATCTGGGCTATCAAAGTTTTAGTACCTGAGTTTAAATAACTGGTCATCAGTTTGTAAAAGTCTCCTTCTGTGAGGAGAGGCTTGATGGCTCTGGAGAGGAATCATGGCACTGAACCCCCTAATCCGTCAGTGAGACAAGAATTTCTGGCTACTCCTAAGTATTGTCTCATGGACAGGATATGTAGCCATGCCTAGGACAGGAACCTTACAGTCATGGAGGTCAGAGCTGATCCATTTCCAGCACAGGTGCAGCCAAGCACTGTTCGACAGGCAAAACTGCACTGACAGGTAGCAGGGAAATTAAACTTTTCCACATCATTATTTAGTACAGGAGGCTTGGAGTCTGAGAAGTCTATTTTCACTGGGTATTATTGGCTAGTGAAGATGCTCTACAGCTTTTAGAACACAGCAGGGTTCATATATTCTTCTATACTCAAAAGCACCAATTAGAGAGATTAAAGAGCCTGATTTAATGGCTAGGCCAGCACTGGACTTTAGAGGACTTCTAAATTTGCAATCCCTTTGCAGCTTCATTAACATAATTGGCACAAAGACTTACTTAGAGCTATTGAAATTGTTTTTAGAGATGCAGCATATCAACTAATCTCTTTGGAGTCTTTATAGAGTCAGGGGCATCCTCAAAACTATGGAGGGACCTAAATAACACTTTTACTATACAGCTGGATTCCTCCCAGGAGAGGAACTTGCTTAAAGCAAATACTTGATTCCTCCAAAAAGTGTACATACCTTGTATGTCTTCTGTTAAGCATTCATCTTCTTCTTATATATCAATAGGCAGACCTACACTAGTTATCTTAAATGACAGTGCTCAGGTAGACATTAAAGCCATACTAAGGATCTGCCTTATTCTAACACAGAACATTTCTTGAAATATCCCTGACAGAAATAATTATAGTTCAGGCCTTATTTTCAAAGGGCAGGATAATTATCAGAATTACTGATAAAAGATTTTGGTCATTTCAGTCAAGTATACTTCCAGCTGTTAGGTATAATTGCAAAAACATTAACTACCCTGGGTACACTCACAAAAACAGGAAAACACAAAGACAAAAAGAGACAGATTAAAACCTTTGTCTCTTTTAATGCTTTCATCCCTTAAGAGGCACCTAAGTTTAACACTTCAGGTGAGTTTTATTGACTTTCACTAATAGCATTTCACTTTGTATGTGGGTTACATTTAATGATTTTGACATGAAAAGCATTTTTAAATGTTTTAGAGAGTAGATCTGTGTTAAAATGTGCTTGGAAACATAATCAGACTGACCTTACTTTTGGGCTTTCTAAAAGAGTAAATGACAAGTTAACCATGAAAGATCTGAATTTTTCAATATAGTCTTTAAATAAAAAAATAAGGCAGCTGTGTAATGTACTGCTACAGGAAAAGAGGTGAAAAATTCAGCCTTACCTCACCATGGACCATAATTCCTACGGCTTCTTCACCTCCCCTCTCTTAGAGTAGGGTGCGAGAGAGTAAGAGAGAATAAAGTCTTCACATTTACTTTGAATTTGGATTTCATTACCTAAGCACACTACAATTTTCTTTAAAACAGACATGAAAAATCTACTATACATTTGCAGCAGGTGATTTTCAAAATTTTATAATCTGTTTAAACTTTAAAAAAAAACAAAAAAAAAAATAAACCTTGAAGGGTTCAAACCCATTTTACCTTCTGTCTCTTAGCACTGTAACCATCTCTATCAGTAGCCGTTTAAATTACTTTTAGGCTGATAAAATGATTCATGTGATAAAATGTATGATGCTGAAAAGGAATAATATTCTATCACAACAGATATCTATGAAGGAGCCATTCCTTCCCCACAGAAACTGCATATTCCAAAGTGAAAATAAGGTAGTTTTCCAGTCATCCTTATTATAGAAAAAAATCGACCAAATACAAAATTTCATTTTCGAGAAAGTAATCTGAAAAAAAAAAAAAAAGAATTTTCAGTACAAAAGATGAAACAGTTACAAACTTTACAGGGAGGGGAACGGAGGTATAGCTGTACCACGAGCGAATAGAGCAGCAAACAAAGTACTTCAATGTACTGCTTGGTAAATTAGATTATGTCATCTTAATTGTAACACTAGTGCACATATTGTAACAAGAAAAATAACTAATCTATATGAAATAGTCTCTTACCCCTTAAAATATGCTTCCAGTTTCTTTTTGTGATCACAGTTCAGACCTCTACAGGATATTAGATAAAAAGGAAGAAATAGATAGCTCTGAATTCTGCTTATATAGATGAACACAAAAAATAATTTTTGCAGTTCCAATCTTAAGAGGTTTTGTACAGTTTTTCACAAAGCAATATTAAAGAGGAAATAGCACATACATAGTGTCATATACTGTTTAGAATCTCTTTTTCTTTATTGTGTCCTATAAGCTGCTGTTCTACCTTGGTAGGACAGTACTCCTATACTGAAAGCTACAGACTGAGTCTTGGTGGCTTTGACTGAGAAAAGTATTTTGCCACAGTGAGCAGTGAGTTTTGTGTGCCTGGAGAGAAGGTAATGAAAAGTTGCTTTAACAGGCTCTGGCAGCTATCCATGCCGACAGCATGCCATAAAACAGAAACAGCATGGACTCAGCTTCTTGGGCCAGAATACGAAGTCTAAATTGTTTTCTTCAAAGTGAGGTATTAAGACAACAACCAAGAATACCTTTACATGTTTTTGGAGGTATCATGATATGAACATTTGTATGTTCAATAATGTATGGCAAACGATATTTAAAAATACTAATGTTATAAGCTAACATACTGCAGAATGCAGCAGTATCTCAAAGGTGGGTGCCAAGAGGAGGGTGTCAGGCTCTTTTCAGTGGTGCCCAGTGACAGGACGAGAAGCAATGGCCATAAACTAAAACACAAGAAGTTCCACTTTAACATGAGGAAGAACTTCTTTACATTGAGGGTGGCAGAGCACTGGAACAGGCTGCCCAGGGAGGTCGTGGAGTCACCCTCTCTGAAGATACTGAAAACCCACCCGGACGTGTTCCTGTGCCGCCTGCTCTAGGTGACCCTGTCTTACCAGGGGGTTGGACTAGATGATCTCCAGAGGTCCCTTCCAACCCTAACAATACTGTGATTCTGTATCTTATTTTTTTTACTTTTAATGAAGGTATATGTGCACTATAGATATCAACATAGGAAACTGAGGTAAAAAAATAACAGGGATAATTTACCTTATTTGTGAATGCCTGTGTAAGAAAACTCAGCTTTATAAACTTCTTCCAAATATCTGCCAAACAATTAGGAGAGGTTGGGATTAGGTGTCCAGACATTTATGTTCTGTGACAACATTTCAAGACTACTGCAGTACTCCAGCAAACAAAGCGTTTTCTTTAACCAGCTACAAATTCCATTGTCACCTACAAGAGACAGAAATGACACAGTATTGCTTTTTTTGATATGGAGACCTGGCTACACAGAAAAGATGACTAATGGATGAAGCTCTGCACCTCCTGTACCCTTACTGATTTTGTCCAAATGTAGGTAAATGTATTACTGTATTTACTAATACCTACTATATTATTGATTCAATATTATGCGACCATAATTTCTAAAAAGTAATCATACTTCACTGGGTCATAAAATAAGGTCAAATAGACAACCATAATTTTACCATTTACTAACAACTGAGTGGTTGAATTTGCAACTTTAATGTTCCTTTAATAGATTTGCTGAAGACATACTTACATATGTGCCAAATACAATTAAACGGGTTGAGTTCTGGAAATTCAAAATCTGGATCGACTTGAAAGTTCTGAAAACTGTTAGAGACTGTCATCAAAATATCATGTTTTATGGACTGCTGGACTTTCAAGTTTTAAAATATTAGGATTAATTCCTCCCGATTCAAGTCTTGGAATGATAAAAATAAATACTAGAATTTCCAAGAACTTTCTAGAATGATTCTGTCTTAACACACATTAAATTATTTGGTGGAGCAGAAAAAAACACCAACACCTGCCTGGGGTGATTTCTGTAAATTACACACTCTTACTCAAGTAATATTATCCTGTTAAGCTGTGGTGTTAAAAATCTATGTTTTATTCTATCCTACGCAGGCATGTATGCATTTTAATTGTGGGGAAAGGTAGTTCCATTCTAGTAATAGTTTTGCATACTTGCCATTTAAAAAATGCTGTTTTCAATTGCTTATAATTTTGTCTAATGTTATCTATTTGAGGAGAAGCTTTCTGCACACAGGAAAGGACAGACAGACTGATTTATTTTTAAAGTTTTCCCCAAAAGGCTTTCTCCATTTCCAGGAAGAATACCTGGTAAGAGCATAGAATTTTGCCCACACTAAAAAATACCTTTCATCTGAATAAACTTAAATCAATCTAGTGTCTCAATTTTAATATTGTTCTATTTCAACTACGTTTGCAATATAGTTTTCCGTTGCAACATGTCACATTATTTTTTTATGGTACACATCATGTCCTGGTGATATATAGCCAGGAGAACATTCTTATTAGGACTTCTTTCTGAATTGCTGCAGCAACTAGAAGATACATTGGAGATTGTAATCAATAAATCCTGAGGCCAAATTTTTAGTAATTCAATAAATCAAAACACTAAACAATCCTGCAAGTAGCAGGATTCATCCCTTCCATTCTCTGAATAAGGTAAGAGTCCTAAGAAAAATACAAATCACAAAATTAAAACTATACCAGATAGCTTTTGAATTCAGGCATTTTCATTTTCAAACTTAATGTTCTTTTAATGTAATATATGAATGTCATATGTCTATATGTATTTAAATAGATAAATACTCATGAATACATAAGTAGAACCACAAGCAATCAGGAAATTACCGTAACACCAGCTGTGTATATATAGAACTAGCAAGCTCAGTACCACTAAACTGCTTTATAATGTGATGGCTTCACTGTTTTTCCCCTCATTCTTTCTATCCATATATTCCATTTTTCCTTTTATTGCTCCTCTACTTGCATTACAAGCTGTTTGGGACTGAGACTTTGGACAAATTTTTCTTCCAGATGATAAGCAAGAGCACACAGACAAATGTTCCTGATGTAGTTCTTCTATCTCTGCAAAAAATTTTGATACCCATGTTCCCAGCCCCTTGCTGGGCAGCATTCTAATCTATGTGGATGCCACTACAGAAACAGAAACGTGAATAATTTCTCTTAAGATGATCTTCAATGAAAATAAGGGTAACAGAAACAGTCCTGTGTGTCAATCACAAAATACTACCAGTGATGACAATTCCAACCTTTGCAGAGCAGTACCAAGGGACAACAATCCTGAATTCTGGTAACTGTGTCCTTTGAGAAAATGGAAATTAAGGACAAGTCACATTCCACTACTGGTCACATCCCCTTGCTGGTAAGCAAATCACATGACACAGAATCAAGCTCTCTGGTTTGAGTAGCAATTGCCAAATCATCCTCCAAGAGCCTTAAAAAGAAAATTGCATGCAAAATGAAAAAATAAGTGAAAACATTAATCATGATTAAACAGAACCACATTGATTTTTGCCAGCTGGATTCAGCCACTGACTGTTATGTGAAGGCTCTTCTCTCTTGGTTAACCCAGCTGAGAGCTGGATTAATTTTTTATAATTAATTTCTTAGGTATTAGTGCAAATGCTTGTCAAAACAGTTGATCCAACAAAAAATTAAATATGGGGTGGGGAACAATAAAAACTCTAATACATTTAAAACAAAGATAAAAATATCTAAATTGAATGGAGCAATGGAGAAAAAAGAAATGTTCTTCATATGTCCTGGTCACTCATGCAAAGCAGAATTGCTTGGATCTGAAAAAACACTCCACCACCCTCCATTCTTCCATTCAAAAGGCCTATCTTACATCACTGTTGAAGGCAGTCACAAAGAAATATATATTTATGGAGTTTTTAAATACTTCCAAGTATATTCATTATGTTCATGGTGACATTGCTATGAAGGACACTATATAAATGGAAGCTGTGCTTGCAGCTGATCACTGTAGATAAACAAGCATCTTGAAGGACTCACTGCACACAAAGGAAGTTGCCTTGCTTTGTTTATGGGGAGATCACCTCCTTCCAGCTGACATAATACATGGGAGATAAAATAATGAAAGGAAACACTTTGTCATGCAGTGTGAAATCAGATCCCAATGCACTTCAGAAGAGATCATGAGGGGACAAGAACTTTGTTTCCTTACTTGTCTATAGAGCACCTATCACATAACTGTGATTTGCATCTCACAGCATACATCTGCATGATATTAAGCAATGGTTTACCAAATGAGGCTGAATAGTAAACTGTAACACATTTAAAAATAAATAATCAAATATTCCTCCCCTAGATCTGTAAAGGCAGCGCTGCATCCTTGCATCAGTTACATATTCAAACCTGAACAGAACAGATGAGTGAAATAACGTTTATCTCTAAAAGGTTATTTTACAGTTTGATATAAAAGATCTGCCAGTACAACATGCCTCAGTACTACAGTATTGCTCTCCTAAAATCAGAGGTTAAACGCTAAACGATATACAGAATTTTGTTTCCTTTTTTTTTTTCGGAGACGAATTTCAGCGTAGTTCCTACTGTCTGCCAGGGTCCCCAATACCAATATTTAGCCCACAGATCACACATCTTGTTGGCTGTTTTAACAGCTAAAACAATGATTTAACAGGTATGATTCCTGACTTCTGCCACCCCTGTTGATCCAGGACAGAAAGAAATCCTGCTGATAGGGCTGTATGGGGATTACACTTCTTATACTGTTTCTGCTGTGAATAAGAGCAGTTCAGCTCCTGTATGTCCTTTAATACTTTTCAAGAGTGCTGTATCATTTTTCAGAAAGAATTGTTGAACTCTTCTAACTTATGGGATTGAAAGCTAAATTATGGTCTTGTGTGCTAACTGGGACACAAGAAACTCCCCCAGTTTATCAGGGTATTAAGAGCTCTGCTAAACTTCAGAATATATTATGTGTACTGTAAGGCACTTTCATGAACAGACTCATATTTCAGGTGTGCTATTTTTTTTCCTCATATGTTTAGGATATTTAGCTGTTATGTGGTGGTTTATCTTTCTTTTTAATGATTTAGTTAACTTACACACTGAGCTGTTTATATACTTGCAAAAAGCTTGTGTTGAACCTCAAAGGCTACTCTTTTAACATGAGCATAAAATTCAGAGAGGATATGTGAATTTCTCTTTACATTTTTAGATAAGTTTAAAATATTAAAAACAATGACATTTATGTTCTACTCACTACAAAGAGCTTCCCTTTTAGTATTATTTTTCATATTTCCTCCTTCTTTGCAGGAGTTATAAAGTTGTAGCTGTTTAATGTTTTAGTCAGTTCTGCAACGTTTGTAAAACTCTTAACAGTAAATAAAGTATATTTGTTGGGTTTGGGGTTTTTTCAAGATAACAATATGGCTGACATCAAAGGTTAAAAAACCCCTTCCTGCTTTAACAAAGAGTAAAAAAATCTGATACTTTTTGATATGTATTTTTAACACCATACTTTTTCAAGGCTTGAGGTAGTTCCTCCAGTAATAAAAGTCATTTGCTAGGAAAAAAGACATTTTGACTGAGCTATTGCACAGTGTCTAAATCCATAAGCATTTAAAACATTTCTTGTTATTTCATTCCAAACAAAAGCGTGTGTATTGAATCTTCACACTGGACACAGTAAACTCAAATGCCTCATTACCACAGAAGAAAAAAAGTAAACAGTTGAAGAGTGTGAGGAAAAAAATCTATCACTGTAGTGCATCAGTCTCACCAGAATAAAATTTGCATTAAAAAGCTGCTATGAAAGGAAAGGACATGACTTTCAGGCTGTTCAACAGTACTAGCAGTTCTGAACTCAGCAAAGATGAGGGTACCTGCATCTGGTATGACTAAACAAGGAATTCTGTCTATAAATACAATATAATATTAGTATCAGCAATAAATTCCTTCATTAAGGACTTAATAAACATTTGCTTATGACCAGATTAACTTGAGAGGTTATTTAATTTTAGAAACCTTTTTAAAAAGCATGAAATACAATGGCAAGCCATTAGGAATTAATAAACCTCCACATCCTTTTGAATCAGCAAATAAAGCACAAAACTAGGCAAGGGGATCTACTTGACAAACAAATTCCAAAACAGTGTATGAAGACAACCAACACTGAAAAGAATCCAGCAATAAAACATATTTTTGAAATCTTTTCTAGCATTTCATCTGGCTTTTTAGAGAAAGAGGCAGGAAAAGAGGGAAGAGACATTTATTGTAACTGAAATCTTAGGAGTCTAATAATTACTAGTTATAGAAAAAAAATGGTAATAATGCAGTTAAAGTTGTTGTACTCCTCTCCTGCTGTTACATTCACCCTTCCACTGCTCCTTTGGATCTCCTGATCAGTTGCATTCCAAGTTAGCGTGACAACAGTGACTTGTGAGCATTTGGAGTCCTTGGCCAGGAGAAGTATGATGTCCAGGTTTATGATTTCTTCTTCATCCTCTAGGTTCTATTTAAGATCATTTTTATCTTTGCTAACTCACTTTTCTCCCTTTCTCTTTTTTCACTGGTCTGCAGCTCTACACCTGAATTTAATACATACGTTGCCTTTTAGATATGTCAGATACTATTTCTTTGTTACCCCCAAACCCACTTTTGTCCAGCCCCAGGCCAGCATTTCGTTAGCTGACCATGGCTGAGCTGTTCATTGCCATAGAGTCTCCAGTCTCTATGGTTCATTCTAGGTCTTCACTTCTCCAGGGCCTCTGGTACCTTACCTGTATATCTCTACATCACTGGTTAGCATGCAAACCACCTCATCCTATGTAGAGTATCAGCAATGCAAAACTATGGATGCATCCCATAAATAAAAACTAAACAGACACCTGGTCCACTGGCAAAATCGCTGAACCAAGTTGAACACAGGTGCAGGCAGGTGCGGCACTGCCACTAGGACAAGTTCTACGGTCTTGCAAACTCGGTGCAAACCCCTCGGCGCACTGACAACCGTGCCACGGAGTGTCCCGCACAGCTCGGTTAGGCACAGCTCGGCACGGCTCGGCACTGCACGGCTCGGCACACCCGCTCCGCAGCGCGGCAGCGGCCGAGGACGCGGTCCTGTGCCCGCCGCGGCCACGCCAAGGTCAGCGGCAGCCGGGCAGCCGCGGCGATGCTGCCGGCGGTCACGGTTTTCAGATCGGTGGGATTTCCCCGGAAAAAGATACATCCTGACCCCCCTCCTTTTTTTTTTTTTCCCCTTTAACAAAGCGCCTCCGCGTGAAGTTCTCTGTTCCTGCGCACGCGGGGGCTGGGCGGCACCCGCTCCCCACCTGCGCGGCCGGTCCCCAGCCCCGCTCCCGTCTTCCAGAGCGGCTGGGGATGGGCGAGACCGGCCCCGCCGCGCGCGGCAGCACCGCCGGCAGCCTCCGCCGGGGCTGGAGCGCGTCAAAGGGGACTCCGCGGCGCTGCCCCGGCTCAGCCCGGTCCGGCTCCCGCTCGGCGCATCGCCCGCCCGGCACCACCGCACCCGCGCGGCCACCGCTCAGCCCGGCGCTGCTCCCCCCGCCCGGAAACGGCGTTGCCGCACGGGCCGGCTCCCATTGGCCCCCTTCCGCCACTCCGTCCCGCCTCCCCGGCGCTACGCGTGCGGCCATTGGCTGCCAGGGCCGTCAGTCGGCGAGGGCGCGCCCCGGCGGTGCCCGCGCGGCGCTCCCGTGCGGCGCTCCCGTGCGGCGCGCGCGGTGCCGGCGGCGGTGGCGGCTGCGGGCGGAGCAGGGATGCGCTCCGGCTGCGGGAGCGGCGGCGGCAGTGGGAGAGGCGAACGCCCAGCGGGGCGAGGGTGGCGAGCGCGGCCGGTAAGGTCCGGCCGGGGGAAGGCGGATGCCCGTCTCCCGTGCGCGTCCCTTGCGCCTCGTGCTGAACGGGCCGGCGGCAGCGCCGGGCAGCGGTGCCGGCACGGGCGGAGTGGCGGGCGGGATGCCGGGGGCGGGCGGCGGCGCTGGGCCGCGGCGGGCAGGGGGCGCGGGCGGGCGCCGTCCCCCGCCACCCCTTGCCATGCCCTTCGGCGCGGTGGTGCCGGCGCGGTCCCCGGGCGGCACCGGCAGCATGGTGGGAACTTGGTCCGCCGCCGCCGCCCGGCTGCCGGCGGTACCCGCGGGTGCCGCGGCGAGAGGCGACATCAGCCCGCTGGTCGGGGCTGGCGGAGGGGCTGCAGAGCTGCCCCCTCCGCTCCGCCGGCTCGGGAGGGCCGAATGGGGCCGCCGATCGGTGGCCCCGGCGCTGCCGGTGCGGGGCTGCTGGAGGTGGCAGCTGGAAAGGCGGGTGCCGCGGGTCCCGGGAGGCGGCGGCGGTGCCCGGGCCCGGCTCTACCCTGCTCGGGAGCGGCATCGCGGACGTGCCCTGGCCCGGCGGAGTGCTGGGGGCGGTCAGCGCGGGCGGGCTCGTCTGGGGACGGCGGTCTGAACTTCCTTGCGAAGCAGGCTTGTACTCCAAGGTGGTCTCGGACGCCCAGCTGGGCGATCCACACAGTCGAAGGCGGCGGTGGTGGCGATGGTGGTGGTGTGGCCGCAGACTGTATCTTAAAGTTGTTAACACAGTTACCTCAAATAAAAGTTATTTTAGAGTAAGTGTAACGGTGACGGTTGATACATGACCATTGGCTATTGAGACGGAGGAATTCTACGATGAAATCCCGTTTATCCCTCCCTGTGCGCTCTTTTCCATTGTTCTTCAACCTGCTGTACTTTTAGTGATAGAAGATGACATAGGAAGGCTTTCAAGTATTGTCAAATCTTGTTAATTTAGATAAAAACAGACTTTAGATGGTCTGTATAGATGGCAATATAAACATTCAGCATCTTGATTATATAACACTTCAAGGAATTTGACAGGATGTTGCCAGACTTTGCGATGAAGGACGTGATCCTCCAATCACGGAAATAAACAGGAGTTTTGACATGGATTCTGTAGGAGGCAGGATAGCATCCACAACTAACAGTTGAAGGGAAAATAGTTCCTGTTATCTCTTGGTTATTTTGGATGTGTTGGGTTGGGCATTTAAAATGTTAAGAAACACTGTCTGCAGAATATGTAAAGAGCTCTTCATTTGATTCAGATTTTTTTTTTCTTTTGCTTCCTTTTTCTTTAAGCTTCCTTTTCTACTTTCTAGGAGTATACTGATCTTGCTGTCTTTTCTTGATTGAGTATTCTGATACACTAGTTGTTATAAGGATACATTCAATCATGTGATGCATAACTTGTTTTCAGAATTTTTTAAAATCATGTGATACATGCAAGGGTGAACAACCGGTGCAAACACCATTGTTACACATACATGCTCTGCTTTGGGGAGCTGCAGCCCATTTTTACAGCTGTGGGGAAGGCACAAATAAGTGTAAAAGATTTGAGATGTGGAATTTGTAACTGATACAGGTTAATATTGTTCCCTCCTTGCCTACTTACCCACTAAGTAACATTTTTGGCAGAATAGGAATTGCTAATGACAGTCCTCGTACATCACCGATTCTGGATAGATCTAGATAGATTCATCAAATGCAATATTGTCAAACTAGTTTTTCAGGAACCTCTTTTAATTAACTTGATTCAATGTTATCTGAGTATTTCAGATTAATTTAGTGAGCAATCCTGATACAAGTATGTTGCACATAGTCATGATACAATGTCTGCTATGCACTCATATGTACTAGTCTGCCTTGTAACCTCACCTGTGTTTTCGTTACGGGCTTTTTCAGGAAAAAAAAAAAACAACAAAATTTTTGTGGTTTTTTTTTTTTTCCCTTGTGAGTGACACCAAATTTTAATCTAAAAATCTAGTTTATGAATAGGTAAACAGTAGAGCCTTCAGCACATGAGTAGTTTTTATTTGTGACACTCATTTCACTGGGATTGTTACAAAGAGGACGTACGTACGGAGAATATATGCCACTGTATTTGTTACATAGCTAATCTTAACTACTTTTTTTCCCTGCACAGTTCTGAGGAAACCTTTTCTAAAAGATCAAAATATGTTAACTGTATAACTTCAGAAGGGTGCTTGATTCAGTGTTTATCTTACTTCTCTGTCTGTTAATAAGTAAAGAACTTTTTTGGAGCATCAGCTGTCCCACCACTAAAGTGAATATAAGTGTATTAACTATTTACTTGTTAAAAATATTAATCAGCTATACATTTACTAACATTCATAAGTATTATCATTATATATGCTCATACCTAGTTAAAAGTTAGAGAAAAATGTAGAAGTTTCATAAATTGTTAGTTTGCTTTTCATGGTTTTCTTCTATATAGGAGAAAGTAAGTCCATCTGTATGCCTCTCAACTAAAAGGACACTCAAAGATATCTTGGATTTTCCTAAGCTGCTTTTGTAGTAGTAATTTTTATAAGGTAGTATCACTATATGTAAGATAACAAGAAGTCTGGAACTGAAGCAGTCAATCCAGCATATTCTCCAACCTGCTACCTATTTAGTTGCTTCGATAAAGATGGATACTAAAATATTATTGATGTAATTTGCCATGAGTACTGGGAAAATTATTTCTTTGATACAGCTAGGGAAAACAAGTAGCATGCTTTTAGGAAATAAGTATGTGTGTACATTCAATTGAACCACTGAAGAGTTGCAGAAGCTAATAGTAAAGATGAATGAATGAATGAATGAATGATATATCTCCTAGTTGTATTAGATCATGAGAATGGTACACTGCTCTTTTTGGAAAAGCTAATGCTGTTTTTGAACTGCAGTTAAAACACTGACTTGTAGCTGTTAGCAAACAGAGCAACTCTAAATGCTGATGTATGGAAGCTCTGCAGAATTCCAGATAAACCAATGCATAAAATGCCCCAGCATCCAAGTGTTCCCTTTGTTGCTTGTTCACAGGCCTCAGATGTTTCAAATTGGTGATAGTGTTTGCTGCTGTCTAACACTGCCATGGCCATGGGTGAATGACCAAGAGTGCTCTTCTTAAGCTCCTGTGTCTCCTGTGAATGCTTTCCAAGGAACGTAGAAAAGATAGTCTTAAACAGGAATTCAGCTCCTGATGCTGAGAAGACAGCTCTGAACAGAGGGAGAGAGGTGAAGATGGGCAAGTTGTTCTTTGACTGATAAGCAGGCAGTTATAATTTTGGCAAAGCTGTGCGGACTGTAGATATGTTGGTGGCTGAGATCAGCTTTCTCGGGTACATCCAGGAGAAAGAAAGGATGTGCAAGAGTCTTGGGCCTGCTCATGGGTAGTATTAATACAGAGATGAATCAAAGTGTGATAATGAATTACAAATCTCGTTTAGGAGCACACTTCTTGTATCACTACCTAAAATGTAAAATTGCGAGGTATTGCATGTGTAGTGGGGAGCGGACACTCTCTTTTTAACCCTCATGCATTCTGATTTTTGTAGCTCTCAATTTAACCTCCCAAGCTAATAGGAGTAATCTAGATATCTGCAATAGTTACTCATCAAAACTGTACTCTATTATTCCATTAAAAATTAAAAGTGTAATTTAATGCATATATAAGTGTATAATGTAATGTATCATAAAATGTATCACTACACATATTTATATGTATACACTCTTTGTGTCTGAATAACTAGAAGTTACCAAATACTGGAAAGGGAGCTAATAGTTAAGAGTGCAGTGAATGAAGAAAATGCTATATAACTGAAACCATGTGAGAATTCTGTTGAGCTATATTTATTCATTTCTATGGAGTGTTGCCAGCTTACCTTCTCCCTTTGCAGGTGTTCTGTGTTACCAGTAGCCTCAAAATATTTCAATTATAATATGCCTATTTCATGTATAAACACTTTCTGTAGAAAGGGCAGAAAACACCCTACAGATACTGGATTTTGCATTCAATTTTTTAAAGACTGCCACCTGGGTACCAGTAGACTTTAACTCTTGCTATCTTTTGAGACTTACTTTAGTAAAAATGTGAATAACCTTTCTTCATGCCTAACCTTTCTTCCCTTTGAGCAGTTCTGCAGCTCAACTGTTTGAGGGGCTGATGTTTATTTCTTTTGTCCCTCAGCAGGTGGCTACATTTTCACTCAAATAGCTGATCCTGCTGTGGAACAACATCTGCAGCTTTGTGGGGGTCACACTGGCTGAACTAACACAAATATTTCCTCCTGGGTCTAACCCTTATTTTTGTTTAAAGATATAGTACTAATTTATCGCTTAACATAGGATATTGTATGTTAGAATTTATCCTAAGGGTCTGCTGTTATTCAAATCTGACCTCTATCTTTCACAGCAGACAAGAAACAGGGGTGTAGCCTTTGTGGTTTTTTCACTAGAGAAAACTGAAGAACATCAGAACATCAGAAAAGCTCTACTGGGTCAGACCAGTGGGCCTTCATACTCAGTGTTCGATCTCCCAACAGTGACATTAAGGGATGCTATTAGGGGCTGTACACAAACCTAGCAATCTAAAGTACCTATTCCCTTGTACTCTTCCTGCCTACTTAGTTTTCATATTAGGGATGAATATAGGTATGTATATATCTGCT